TGTTGTGGTGGTGGTCGTTGTTGTTGTTGTTGTTGTTGTTGTTGTTTTGACAGGGGGATATCTAGCCGTAAAGCAAACTTTAAATATCAGAAACTGGGAGCTGAGTGCCGAGAAATGGCTCCCATGAATAGGTCTTTAAACCCAAACTAGGCCAACAAAGATCGCCTGTGGCATCGATCCACCCGTTCTGCGTCAGCTTCCTAACCCACATGCCCGAGCCGCAGTGGACGTCAGAAGATCGACGCAAGTGATCAGCGGAAGGATTGACGTCGCGGGCACTCTTCGCTTGATTTGTTTAGTTTTAATGCCGTGCACAGGTGTTCCCGTAGCGACCTCTTCACTTTTTTGTTGAATAACGACAGGGCTAAACAAAATGAAGTCCAGAGTCCGTTCTTCAACTACATTCTCCCAAAAATATCCTGAAATGTTAATGAAAATGTGTTTTTTAATTAGTTATCTAGTTAACCGATTTCGCATTTTTTTTCTAGAGCCCCGAATGTTACGCGCAGGACAAAAAGCCTCAAGCAATTTTCTTTTTTTTTTTTTTCTTTCTGGACCAAAGAAACAGCCTATATTTCAGAGAAAATGTAAAGAAAGGGTGCAGGAGAGCTGGAGAATGTTAACCATGTTGAAGTAACCTGAGATTGCGGTAAAAGAGAAACATTAAAACCTAGAGGCAGCAAAAAATATAAAATGTACCTCTTTTACCCTAGCTCAAGTCAGGTTAGGTTAGGTTAGGTTAGTTTAGGTAAGATTAGCAAAGAAAATAATTCTTTCTACCCTCAGCCTCAAATTAATTCAACTTGGTTAACCATAAATTTCCTCCACATTGCGCAATACGTTGTCCAGGGTGTTTACACATTTAAGAGCAATGAAAGTCTTCATTCGCACACACGTCCCTTCTGTAGTTTTTAAATGAAAAAAGAAATATATATATATATATATTTTTTTTTTTTCAAAATACATGACTTATAACGTTCAACCCTGCAGAACAGTCACTGAAAAGGTAGCAACCTCGTACAAACAAAAACGACGGTAAAACAGTTCAGCCACCAGAAGTTTTAAGATAACCGGAGTGCTTATAATTTTAATCACCCTCGTAACCCCGCCAAATTTAACAAAGTTCTCTTACTTGTTGATACTTTTCCCCATCCTGCTGCTGTGACACTTCTTGGCAAAGGAAGCGTCTTCGTCGGAAGGCACACAGCACCAATAAATCCTTCACCATCCTCAATGTCGAAGGGTACAGTTAGCTTGATCAGCGCAATGTCGTTAGTCACCAAATTGCGCTGATGGTACTTGTGTACGATTACTTTCGACACCTGAAACCACGGTGCATAGGTTACACGTGTTTACCGCGATACTCTGTATGGTGTAGTGAATTATATCAATACATTTTCTGAACCACTTCCTCGACTTAATTTGAATCATTTTATTTTTTTTCTTAGACGGCATCATTCCTATATTTTCAAAATTTATTCATTAACCTATTTTTGTTTGCATTTTGCTATCATTCTGAAACTCAATTATTTTCAATCTTCACTGACAATAATTTCGTTTGTCGTTTAACAACCATAGCTGCTTCGTTCTCCACAGGAAAAACGACAAGGTTAGACGGTCCGCTGGTTGCTTGCCCCCAACACAAGCGCTGCTGAATTGGGAAAGAAAAAAAAATAACAATAACTGTAGTGCGCGAGCAGGGGGGGGGGGGGGGGGGGAGGGATCCACCTGTATATTATAGGGTTGGCTGGAGCCCACAAGCCCCTCCCCTGGCAACGCCACTGGTTGATATAGACTGTTGGTAAACGCCAAGGCACCCAATTCATATTTCCTCCTGTCATTTAGAATGTGCAAAGAATCAATGAAAAGTCTATTCTAGGGATTTGTCTTCGCGTCGATGATGCTGGTGGTGTTGAAAGCAATTCGGTGGTCTCTGACATCGCAGAGCTCAGGGACTGCTCTGGGCTCGTAATCGAACTTGCGCGCGTCGTCTTCGTTTCCCCGGTGTTGGTGGCTAAGAAATCAGAAGAAGGGATCCTATAAACCATGGCTTGCGTTTCTTTTTATTTCGGCGGGCGATCTTTTGAACATAGCATAAGCCGTTCAAGCATATACATCGGCTGGTGGGCCACGTTGATTCCTTCTTTGGCAAGCACGGACGTGTGCCAGGGCTTCACTTGTTCCTTGATGTAGGGTACGGGTTGACCGAGGCTGCGTACCTGCTTGTGGCTGCTGGTATCGGCAATATCGTGCGTGACGATGGGCAACGCGGTCGATAAAGGTGCTGGTGAACCCGCTCTTTCTAATGGTGTCGTATTCTTTAGCTACTTCACCCGGTTTTCGCGATACGGGATCTAGCATCGAACGCGCCGTGCGTACGTGCGGCGCGCGTATGCGCCACGCGGACAAAGCGCATAAGCGGAGTGGCGTTACGCTCTCCTTCACATTCACACCCTCTTCGAAGGACCTGACGTCCGTAATGTCATAATCGACGTCATTCTAGAGGCCGTCCTTAAGGTCCTCCTACAGGCCGTCCTTGACATCGCCTAGATGTCCTCCTAGATGTCGCTCAAGACGTCGTCCTCTAGGACGTCATCCTTGACGTCTTCCTTGAGGTCGTCCTAGAAGTCGTCCTTCAGATCGCTCTAATAATCGTCACAGAGGTCGCCCTAGACGTCGTCCACCACGTCGTCGTAGCAAGCAGATAAACCGGCATTGCGCATACACGGAGCGGCAGTACGCAAACATTCCCAGTTACGCCCAAGCTAGGAGGCAATCCCACACTGCAGCGCAAGCAGATAAACCCACGCCGCACATACACGGAGCTGCAGTTCGCACACATTCACATCTGCGCACGAACAACGAAGCAATTATCGGTTTGACTTGAGAGTTGGTACATGGTCAATGATGTCGGTGAAACAGCTTGATCATTAAACGATTACGTAGAGACAAGACGTACACACGAATCTGCACCGATGGTGGGAAACAGCTTCATCATTCAAAGATAACTCAGAGAGAAAAGTTTAAACGATTACAAAGAGACGAAGCAATCACTCAATTTCAGAGTGGCCCACTGTAGTCTCACTGACGTCATTGATTGAGTCGTAAACCATTCATAAGATAAAGTGTTTACTCAAAATTTGCGTCATCGGATTTACAGTCAGCAGCGTCGTGAGTTTCATGACGACTGCTATCGCAATTCATAGACAACCAACAATAGTGGCTTTTGGAGCCAATTTTTGTAGATCAGCGCAAACAGTTTGCTCCTTCTTTCTTCAGTCCGTGTTAGGCGAGCATATAGTGGTCGCCCTAGACAACACTGTCGCGACCACCGAAGCTGTGTGACAGGTCGGGTGATTGGGATCAAACTAGAGGTACCGTCCAGTATGCCTGGGATTCCTGTACCCAAACTCTTAATGTTCCCTTTTCACGATCACGTCGAGAAAAAGTACGTATCGTCCTTCTCACGTTCCACAGTGAACTGGATGGGCGATTCAATGGAGTTGAGTTGCAAGAAGCATCTTTCCACTTCAGACTTTTGAAGGATGCAGAATCATTTGTATAGCGCAGGAACATTTTGGTGTTGTGAGGAATGACTGTAGGGCCTGTTGCAGACATTTGACGATGCACAGGTAGGCTGTGATAACGGAGATGGACGTGTCTATTAAGGTTCTACCGGCTTGCTTGAAGAACTCCGCTTTGACGCTAACGTTCGTGCTGCTGTGGCAGGAAACTCCAGGAGGCTGCACAGTTCTTCCATGATAACTGCAGTCCTGTTGTTCAGTTATTCGTCTTTTTCGAAGGCCTTCCTAGCACTGGCAAATGCGAGGGGAAACACAACACTTGTGAAAAGCGAGACGACTTCGAATGACACACAATTTCCTCAGAGCTGAGCTTCTATTTAAGTCCCTAAAGTTTCTCACATAAATCGCCTTTTTTCCCACTATGGAAGAAAGAGAACAATGAAGTTAGTTCGACACGGCTCGAAGTGGAGAAGTACAACAGTTTCCAATAGGCAGGGGAGCAAGGCGCTTATGTATTTTGGGAAGGCCGTAAAATTCCTGGGTATATTAATTCCTACAGAGAAGGAGCAGGGGGAGTCTTCTCGAGTCTAGATGTTTTTTGAAAATATCCACAAGGGAATTTGTTCAGCTTTGCTTGGTTTTATACTCGTAGCAATACGTCAGTATCTTAACTCTTCATCAACATTTGTCTAAATATTTGTTTTAATCAATTGTTGGGGTCCTGCTAAAGATAAGCAAAGATTGGTCCCCATTGGAGCATCATGACATAGAATTGTGGATAACTATTAGGCAGGACATCGAACTATAGGGGGCGCTCTGACCCGTTTGTTTTCCCCACGCTCGGTGTTTACTCAACACAAGGCCTGTGCACATGCCGACAGGCCTTATGGGCATGTCCATGTCATCTTCTACAATAGAGCGCGGGCCACAGTTTAATACTAACAATCGACGAAGCGACGTTAAGTGCCGGATCTATCCTCAGAGAATGCGAGCTTGACCCACTTCGGCTTTTGTGCTGAGCCGGGACCGTGCATGCTGCGTTGTTCATGCAGGCCGTAGTGGAAACAAAAGAGCCCCTCCTCCCCCTCACCGGAGAACACGAACACCAGCCGAACGCTGACGCCGCGTTCGGTTATGTCGGCCGAGCGCTGCGTCATTGTATTTGTTGTCCCCATCCGTATAGTTGTAAAGTTAACCGCTTGGGGCGTCACGGTCTGTCCTCCTCCCCAATATTCGATCGTCCTTTCGAAAATGCGTTGTATTATCATTTTGATTACAACTCCATCATAGTATTTAGACCGCATAGAAGATGTATGTAACGCACAAAAAATTACTATTTTTCTAGGCAATCCCCCTACAAATTAAAACACTGCACCTTCTTGCCACCTTATTATTCTATCCTTAAATTTTCGACCTTTTATAACACTTTTATTTTCGATGCCGGCCCCGCTTCATATATCGCAACCATCGACCAAACTAAACGACACGATGTTGTAAATCAAGTATGCTTACATTTCGTTTTTGATGATACGGACCTTTCCTTCTCCTGTTCACAAATCCTGCCTCGACATACGAGTCTTTAAGACTTATTCTGAAATAAATCAACGTTTTATTGCACGCTAAAAATGCACAAACAGGCGGAACAATCATGCTCACCTGTGAAGGCAGTGAGCTGCAGTGAGAACAATGCCTCGAGTTATTATCGACCCTCCGCAAAGAAACAATTTGTACGTGTACAATCTTCTTACGCCCACAAGTACCTAGACGTGAGATTAAAACGACCGAGTGATTAAAAATGTTTATCATATATTGCCATTATGCGATGTTATTCTCATTTTGATGCTGCAAACGCGTTGGTAGGTTGAGAGAAACGCGAGAGAGCGTCTGGTTTTTTTCGTGTTTAAAAACGTCACATTAGATTTCTCCTGAAAATTCTTATAAAACGTACAGCGGGATACGGCACATTTTAAAACATACTGCTACGACGTCGTAACAATGCTCAAAAAAGTCCTTTCTTTTTAAAATGTGCCCACAATGCTATCATTATGTACGGGGCTCTTCTACCGTGACCTTCGTCAAAAAAAGGAAAACAACACCATTGGTTCAGTACATTGTAAGGAACTTTCGATAGCACGACGACCTACTGCGGCTGCGGTTTTGCGACAGAATATTGTGATAATATATGTAGGCACAGGTGTGTCCTCAGTTACACTTTAATTACAGAAATTGCGTTTTTATACCCTAGATTATAACTTGTTACTTAAAAACCCTAATTTAAGTGGACTACTGCAAATCTTCAACGGTCAACCAGGAAAATGTCTGGTAAGAGAAAATTGTCCAAGTCCTAGCGTTCTTGTCGGGGTAGTGAAATCTGCTTCCCGACCTAGTTTCTTATGTGCTGCGGCCTGGGGGGCTGCCGTGGATTGCGTTCGCGAGAAAGTATTCGAAGTGCACCAAGGCTACCAGTGTTTGAAAGTCCTACGTGTATATCGGTAAAAGGCGATTTCTTCGGAGAAGCCCAAGAAATTCTTCTTATGCGTTTTGCGCTCGGTTCTGCAAACAACAGCTTCTGCTACATCGTGTTGAATCTTCACGGAACCCCCAATATTCTCATTTCTAGTTTGTGTGGTTGTTCTTCAGTGCCCGAGTCGGCATATACCTCGGATTACGTCTCTCAAGTCCGGTATTTCCATCGTAAGTGCGCTGCAATCTACCCCCTGCCAACAACTGATTGTTCTTGCACCTGTACCCTTCCGGACTACCTCTAGAATTAGGCAGTGTCTATTTCCTAGCAGCCGGGAGAATACTTTCGCCGGAATTCTTATTGGCGGTTGATTTCCATTAGCTGACTAAAATCATGTGACAACTGCAGGTAGAATACTGACCTTCTTATTGTGCCGGTGTTTTGTGAAAACACGTTTCAAGGACACCTCTTTGTGGATACACGTCTTATAGGCACATTTCGTCGTCACTAACGTTTCATCGTCATTCGTTACGCGAAATGCACGCTGTAGGGACATTTCGTCAAGCGTGTATACCTGAAGCGCGTGCTCACCGACCCAGCCCACCCGTTCACTCCGCTTCGTGGCCACATGTGCGGTGGCTCAGTACAGGAATGTTAACCTACCTTTCCTACCCCTACACGTCACTTCGCGGCGACAGTCTGGGGCCGCTCATTACATGAAGAAAGAAAAAGAGAAGCTAATATAGGAAAGCTAGTCTGAGGTGTCTATGAAACATCGCTTGTCGGTGAAACGTCGTTCAATGAAGTGATTGTACCGCCAATGAGTGGCGACTGCCGGTAGAGTTTCGGAGAAATAATTCTGCCGGCTGCCGGGAGAATCTACAGTGCCTAAGAATCACAACACTTCTTGGTTGCTTAGCAATCTTCTCAGATGTATAACAGCTTAGTTGTAACTCTTCACACATGACGGAGTGCTTGCAAGTTTGTACTTGTCTACGAAATAATCTATCTAATAAAATTCTGGGAGATTTGAAAAAAAAAGTCCCGGATGTTTCTTTACCGGCCTTTTTACCATCACCAAGGCGAGTATATTGTTTTATGGGCTTCCTTGATGTTTTGAATAGGTTTATGAAGTTCGAAAGGTAAAAATTACTTTAGAACTTCCAACCTTTTATTTTATATCCAGCTACAAGGTTGGCGCTTATATTTATTCAGTTTTACGGTGACAACAACCAATTTGTTACATATTTAACGACACCGCGGTTAATAGGAAAATCTGTAGGCAGCTGTAGTCCGATGGTAAAGAGTACCATAGGACAAGCTAAAGAATAAACTATAGCAGACCACACAGAAGGCAACAGACGGCTAATGAAACCATACGAGGAGCTATGTGCAGCTGTAGCACGCTGTGTAAAGAGAACAACGGAGGAGCAATAGAACAATCTTTAGCAGACCATACACAAGGTAACATAAAGTCAAGACATCTAAGAATATCCCCATGTTCTGTGTGTGTTTTTTTTTTTTACATTGAAGCAAAAATAAACATCACGCTAAGAATATCTCGATGTTGTGTTTTTTGAAACATTGAAGCAAAAATAAAAATAACCAGAGAAATTAAATTAATTCTTTTCTCATTTTGCCTTGTCTTGCTCTGCATAAGGAGTTTCGCGTGGGGAACCGGAGTCAGCCTTTCGACAGCGCTCGAGCCAGGATCCTCGCCGACGCCCGAGACACGCTGTTATTCTTCTCAGTTATTCCTCTTTTGTTCGTAGTGGCACAAGTTTACCATTAAACTTTAGTTTCTTTAGTTCTTCGCCACTACATTATTTGTTACTCGTGAGAATATTTAATAAGTGGTTTTGCATATACTATCGTGGACGCTGTTAGCTGTAACCAACGAGCTTGAGTCTTACCTTAGAGCGGTAAACCGGAACCCACTGCCTGCAGCGGAAATGGCACCCCCCCCCCCCCCCCCGGTTGGCGCCATCTTGCCTGTTTGCCACATTAGTGATCACGTGACGTTAAGATGGCTGTGGCCAAAGGTGGGCCAGATCAGATTGGCCAGATCGCGGTCAGCAGATGGGCACTCTGGGACTGCGTTCGAATCTTACTCGAATGGCGCCGAGTTATTCCGACGAATCAAGTCACGTGATAAGACAGATGCAGCAACGCTGGACGTGGGTAGGTTTTCGAACGCAACAGGTACAAGGACTTCACCCCCAGGAGTGAGATAGAAGCTGCGTTCGATTTACTTGCACCTCCTGCACCGGTGCAGAAAAGTGTGGGGCGGTGTACTTAAGGTCGTATCTCAATACATATACCGGAAGTAGACTGCCCTACACTTTTCTGCACCGGCGAAGGAGGTGTAAGTTAATCGAACGCAGCTTTTATCTCAGTCCTGGGTGAATTTCTCGTACCCGTTGCGTTAGAAAACCTACCCGCGTCCAGCGTTGCTGCATCTGTCTTGTCACGTGACTTGATCCGCCGGAATAACTCTGCGCCATTCGAGTAAAATTCGAACGCAGCCCAGGAGTGGGCATGCGCTGACCGCGATCTGGCCAATCTGATCTGGCCCAAATCTGGGCGCAGCCATCTTAATGTCACGTGATCACTAATGTACGTGGCAAACAGGCAAGATGGCGGCAACCAGGGGGGTGCCATTTTTGATCGCTGGTTTACCGCTCTAAGTTTACTCAAGCTCGTTGGCTGTAACATGCCAGAGACGGCCGTCGCTAGAGTGCCTCAATGTTGCTAGCCGTCGCGCACCCCCAGCGCCGCATAGCAGGTGCCGTCCAAAACTCCGCGCATGCGCCATGTGGCGAACTCGCTCTTCCCACCTGCGAGCACACCCTTGCATTGTCGTCTGCTAGGCGTAGAGCAGACGACGCCGCAGCGTCGTCTGCCAATGTTCGCTGAACCCGGTTTCGTGGGCGCCTATTTAGGCACAGATCAGCCGTCTCTGCTCGTCTGATATCCTGGCACATAAAGAACTGGTCTCAACCTCATTCTAGGCAGGCGTGGTTTATTGGGACAGATTGGATAGTCATTGTGGCATAACCCCTGTCTACGTTTCTTGTTTTTCGTTTTTTTTTTTTTTTTTGCTTTTTTTAGGGGTAGTCGTGCGCGATGCATGTTTCAACAACACGCGCTCGCGAACCAGCATGAGCGCAGCAGGTGTGATTCAGAAATTGGCCGTCAACTGCCAGTTTCACCGAGATAAATGAAGTAATCTACTGTGATATATACAATTACTCGTGATGACTATCCTCAGTCAGGCGGACGCATATCCGTGAGTCAGGGAATCAACCACCTCGTAAGAGGTGCCCACGAAACCGTGGGCGCCTCTTACGCACCTCTTACATGGTGGTTTGTTCAACACGAAACCGTGTTCAACGACTATTGGCAAGCGCTGTTACGTTGTCTGCTTTGCGCCTAGCAGACGACAAAGCGGAGGTGTGCTCGCCGGCGAGAAGAGCGAGTCTGCAACACGGCGCATGCGCGGGGTTTCGGAAGTTGCCTGCTATGCGGCGCTGGGGGTACGGGACGGCCGCCGCTCGCGTGTTACAACTTACAGCTAACAGAGTCCGCGATAGTACATCTAGTATTAAAGTCAACATACTGTAAATACATATTCGTAAAAATCATTTAATCCTTCCATTTTTCAGGAAATTAGGGTTCCCATCATCTTTTAAGTGTTTTAAAGCGTTCTATTTTTACTTAGGTTTTATACTGACGTTTTATCTTGTGAGTTCACAACAATAAATAAAATAGAGAATCACTCGCATTTCGTTATGTGTTATGTACTAAACTAGGATACTAAAAATAATCCGACAACAAAATCGATCATTCAGTTGAACGCTAGAAATCCCACAGAATACCAATGTTCTGCACAACGTTAGCAATTCACACAATTATGTTGATAGCTGATATAATTATGAGATATTTAAATAAAGCTACCTAATTACTGTGTTCAAGCATATTTGAACACTTCCCTCGACATATAAAAGTTAAACACTATTTGTTTTTTCTTTGTGCATTCCCTGACTTTAGTCTGCAATTACTGACTTCGAGGTATACTCCTCAAAGACACTTAAAAATTCAAGACATTTGTCAAAAAAAAAAATCCAAGACATTTGATATGTTTGCCAAATAAAAAGTAATTGACATTGTCCAAAAACGATCCTATCTAGCAATGATTAAGAAAGACGCTAGAAGAACGGCTATACGTTATCAGCTTCCAATCAGTACAATCTTGCTCAGTTGCCATTACATGTGGTTTTAGGTCATATAATCGATACATTGTCGAGCATAGCCATTAATATTTCTAGAACATTTTAGTCACTTTAATATGAGTTCAATTGCAATCATTGGTTACCTTGAACTTATTCATCGAAACTGCCACTCGAAGCGGTGACCGCTCTCTACATAGCTGGCACTAAATGACAAAGTTAATATGTTAATTCGCCAGATAATCAAATGTCTACATCACCTGCCAGGGAAAGTCTCCTAACTCTGCCCTCCATCCTCCCACTATGTACTTGGGCCAATTTCGTTCGACATTTTGACCACAGTTTGGGTCAGGCCAACCGGTACAGTGTACTAAAAATCCAGAAAGGCAGGATTATCACAAAATAACGGAAACATTTCAAATGCGCGTAAAATTGCAGAACATTCACGTCAGGATCAAATGTTAGTGCTTGAGCTGTCTTATGTAAATATAAAACCACCATGACAGTTCAAATACTCCAGGAACACGTGGACATAAATTAGGTTTGAAGTTTTCGGGTATCATTAAAAATTACTATTTCTCAAGTTTCAATTTTTTAACTGAACACACCTGTTAGGTCCGGCATTCAGGTTTGCTTTAATACATATATATATATATATATATATATATGATGGCCGAGTCATTGATAAGAACAAAACGGTTATTTAAAATTAAAATGCACCATTGTGTTACGGTAAGATGCAAATTTCTATGCGGTGAAATAAATTAATTCCGCTAGATTTAGCGGGGATATTCCGCTGGATTTAGCGGGGAAATTATTCCCCTAGATTTAGCGGGGAAATTTTTCCGCTAGATTTAGCGGGGAAATTTACCCATAATGCACCGCGCGGTTAGGCCGACGGCGCCGGCGACGGCGACGCCGACGCCGCTCAAGCCGGAAACGGGCGCCTAAGAGCTGCGCTCTAAAAAAAGTGAAAGCCGTTTACAACTCTCTGTAACGCCGAATTGGAGCGCAGCTCTTGAGGAGGAGGAGGGAAGGGTACTGAGGGCCACGTGTTCTTGGGGGGAGGGGTCACGTGACGGCAGGGAGGGGTCACCTGACATAAAGGAAAGGGTCACGTGACCCCCTCCGAGGTCACGTGACCTCGGGAGGGGTCACGTGACCTGGGGGTCTCACGTGATCTAGGGGAAGGGGTCGCGTGACTCCCCAGGTCACGTGACCCCCCCGGTCATGTGAACAAAATTTCCCCGCTAGTTTTAGCGGGAAAATTTTTCCGCTAGACTTAGCGGGGAAAAGTTTTCCGCTAAATTTAGCGGGGAAATTTTTCCGCTAGATCTAGCGGGAAACTTTTCCGCTAAATTTAGCGGGAAAGTTTTTTCGCTAGATTTAGCGGGGAAATTTTTCCGCTATATTTAGCGGGGAAATGTTTCCGCTAAATTTAACGGGGAAATTTTCCGCTAGATTTAGCGGGGAAATTTTCCCGCTAGATTTAGCGGGGAAATTTACCCATAATGCACCGCGTGGTTACGCCGACGGCGACGCCGACGCCGCTCAAGCCGGAAACGGGCGCCTAAGAGCTGCGCTCTAAAACTTTCGATACTACTATCGATAGTCGACTATCAAAAAACTATCGATAGTCGACTATCGATAGTTCTGAGACACTATCGATAGTTTTGGAAAAACTATCGATAGTATCGATAGTCGATTTATCGATAGTTTTGCATCACTAGTACCTGCGTTGGAGTTTCGTGTATAGCTCTGTTTATTATAATTGTGCTTTAAGTGTATGGACAGTAAGGTATATGTATAATATTTTCATGCAAAATAGTCTTAAATGACGCTGCATTTAATTTCACGTATGTGCTGAAAATTTACTGCTTACTTTTTCCTACTGCAAGGGCACACGTCAGTACTAAAGCAATCTTCATGTTAGACGAAAGGGTCACCATCCGTGGTACAAAATATCCTGTGCAAACTCCTCTTGAGTCTGAATTTAACAAAGAGAAGGTTATAACCTCTATTATATTGTTTGTTGATGTAGTTTTAAATATTATATACTTTATATCGAAACCAATAGTAAAATAAAGAATATCCCCTCAATACTTTCTTTGTTTAGAAAACTTTAGTCACGTGTGCGGCGTGGTTGGCTTATTTACAGATGTGATTTTAAATATGAGCCATCAAGAGCTCTCTTCCAGTTAGCTTATATGCTAATGTGCACGACATAATTACCAGTATGTCATTGCCCAAGACTTGTCGAATATTTTGCAAAAATGCATTTAGTTACAGCTCGAGCTCAGCATTCATCCATAGACACTTGTGCTTCTTCGACTATTTATGACTTAAAGATGACAGAGTATAACCAGCCGACACCAGATTTCATAGATTTCTCATCGATACACTCTTTGAACGTACAGTGCCTAAAAAAGTTACGAATATGAAAAACATAACAAACCAGTTTCATGAAAACATAAATGAATTATTTTGTCACGTTTGCAGAGACTCGTCTTGTTAATTGGGAGCTCATCTTGGAGACTAAGGTACGAACTTCCTCGGACCCGAGTAAACATCAGCCAAATTGGTGCCTTCGAACTGCGCTTTCTAGCTTTAGAAAATTTAGCTCATAATATTGTAATACAGCATGATGACTAATCCACTCACCTTCGATTCTGTAAGAGGCCAAATAACTCATATTTCCGTTTCAACAACACGATTCCTTAATTTCGTAATTGTTCAAGCTTGACTGAAACCATAGTCGGTCATACCTGATAATTTTACCATCTTTTGTTCACATCAGCTTTTCAGTGTGGTGCTGAGAGTTTAGAAGCGAATATCACGTTTTCTTTTGATATCGATGAATTAGGAGGTCAGCTGTTAAGCCGTTCGGCATAGACCAATTTAAGGGAGACACTGTTTAATGCATATATTTCGTGAGAGGCATCCACCTCTTTACATCTTATTTTATGATGCTAATCAACTTTTGAATTCTGTCGATTTTCATGTTCCTTGTCGCGTTACCAGAAATTTTACTGTCTTTTATACTAAATTCATGTCTAAACTCTCACCACTGTCCCGTATGCAAATTTCATTTAATACAATCGCATCGTCTAGCTTGGACATCTTCACAGATCTCGTAGTTTTTCGCCGGAACTTGGGAAGTCTAGTTAAAAGTTGGTACTATTACATTTTGTGTGAAGTGTGCGACCTATTTGTTGTCTGCTAATTTGTACATTTTAAGCTGTGCGTGTGCTGTGTTTCTTCTTTTGTGTGCGCCAATATGAAGACCCGCGTGGTTGTTTTTGGGCACATTAAATAAACAAATTATTATTATTATTATTATTATTATCGACCTAACCTAAAGACCAAATGAATCTCATTGCTGGTTTTGTTCATCCTACACAATTAAATATACTGCTCTTGTGCCTCATTATCATACGCAAATGCTACATATTTTAACTGTATATTGCTGCATGAAAATGTTAATTCTTGTCTTCTGAGTTTTCTTAATGTTTAGAATGAAGTGCCTGCATCTTGAATTAAAATCCTGTACCCCATTAATATATAGTTTTTCCGCAATTTCTTGTAGATCTTTATGCTGCGCTATGCGGGAGGTGTGTCTTAAAATAGGTTAAAAATAGGATAACAGAACGCACCTGGTATCGCTGCGCCGCAGCGATACCAGATCCGTTCTAAGGCCCTTCCCGCATCCTTTTCAATTGGCGGAAGGCGAACAAAAAGAGTTCGAAATAAGGACTTAACGCAGAAGGCTGTATTTCTCCAGCGCCTCATAATTTGACGAGCCTTAAACGAAAAGCATGTTTTTTTGGCCATCCCGCTTCCTGTTTTTTTTTTTTTCATCCGTAACATGGGTCAGGTATCAAACTGCACGATAAGCCCCCCACTGCGTGCTGACGGCTTCGATATGCTATACGTATACGAGCGCAGCGGACACATATTGGAGCATGACGCTGCGAAAAGCCCGCTACTTCTTCGCAATAAAACCGCACTCCGGTGATACGTAGTCACGTTCCGATTCGCAGGCCAAGGCCGTAGCTTCCGCCGTACTGAGATGTTATACGGTCACAGCGTCCTGGCGTACCCAGTATTTCTTGCTTCAGACACGAGGCTAAGCGGCGCCACCAGAGTAAAAGCTCACGTTTGAAATATGCGGCCGCCAAACCCAGGCATACCCAATGTTTCTTGCCTCAGTCGATAGATAGCGCCAAACGAAGCAGAATTGCAGGTTACCTTTTACGTCGCGGTGGACAAACGCTATCATAGAATGTCCTGCGGAGCGTGCGCTAACAGGAGAGTTACATTTAGTGCTGAAATATGCTAAAATAACGTACGTAATTTTAATACTTTCTAGAAGTATAAAAGGGAATGCAACATGGAAACTACTATCTCCAAGATATAATTCTAGGATTATCTTAGAGCGCCTCTAAGGAGAGATTTTGCTATCACTGGGATTTATCCAGGAATGTGCACTATGGGATAGAGCGTGTTTTGACCTGCGCCGAGTGTAGACTTACAAGGTTTTTCTGAACACACGAGGCACCCTTAAATTTGCCGGGCGTGTGACCGTTTTTGGGAACGCTGTTCTGCCACGTTTTCTTCTTTTTTTTATTTATTTATGATGCCCACCAATTAACAGCTTACATCACAACGGAGACAAAAAAAAAGCAGATCAGACATTTTAAGACTTTACACATAAAATTAGGAAATAGTAAAATAAAAATCAACGTGTCATATTGCCGCTCCGGCATCACCATATTTGTTTTTTTAAAGCATAGAATGTTTATTAGTGCAACCCCCCCCCCCCCCCCAATTTTGTCAGTCCGTTCGTCCCTCCATCAGTTTCACGGGACCTAAAAACCAACTCAGTGACCCCACTAAAATTGGCGGGAAAACTGATGTCACGAGGCCTATGCAACAATTCAGTATGTCCGCTAAATTCCGCGGGACAATTCATATCACGTGACCCGTACACCAATTCAACTTCCCCGTTAAATATGGCGGGAAAATTTGTGTCACGTAAGCTAAACACCATTTCAGTTTCCCCGCTAAGGTTGGCGGGAAAATGGATGCCACGCAATCTGTCGACCAATTTAGTTTCCCCGCTATATTTGGCGGAAAAATTGACGCCACGTGACCCTACACACCAATACAGGTTTCGTGCTGATTTTGGCAGGAAAATTGATGTCATATATTGTTCCTTGTCCCTACTGCTGTTAACAAAACTGTATTTTGTTTTTTTTAATCTATTTTTCTTAATCGTTTTGAAACAAACGGCTCCGAAGTTAACACCCGTCACCCGACACCCAGAGTAGGGGGCTTCCTCGAAGGCTAGAACCGATCCCGAACCGCGCGTCCGCCCGTCGTAACTGCTGTGGTCGTGGTTCTGGCGACCGGGGACCCTCCAAGGACCATTCTGGGTGTCGTGTTCTCGCGGAGGACGTTGCCATACGGCCTGTCCCGGCTTTGCTTTGCTTTATTTATTTTTATTTTGTTTCGCGCTTTCCGGTTTCGCTCTGCTTTTTTTGTTTTTTATTTGCTGCACTGGATGACAAGCGAAGAAGTTGTGCTCTGTTCACATGAAAAACAAACAAAAACAGTAAATATAGGTTAATTCAGTCACATGAATCCCGTTCCTATTTTATAGTTTCTGTTAATTTAATGTGGAGTATCAGAAACAGGTTAGTAGAAAAGTGAAATAAAAAGAGGAAGAGTGAAAAAAGAACAAAAACAGATATAACAGAAAGGAAAAAGTAAGCCCTCCTTAAATGGCTATAAAAAGTAAATCACCTAATAATACTACTAGAATAGGCTGTTTAAATTATGTTATTGTGCGGAAAATGAAGACAGGTTTTTACTAAGGACCTCCACTATTCTTTTTTTTTCTTAACTGTACTCTTTCTTATTGCTGTTCTCCCGTTTGATTCGATAAGAATGCTCTTCTGCGGTCATTATATTTCACGAAATATTAAGCATATATGAAAAATATAATAAAGAATGTAATTTGTAAATTCAGTGAAGTATATATTGCAGGTAAACACTTGACAAAAATATTTTCTGTTCAGAGAACATGACTAAAAAATGAGCAAACCAAGTTTGAAATCACAGGCTTCAACGCATCATCAAAAAAATAATTAAAAAACACCTTGCAGAAGAAGAAGAAAAGAAGAAAAAAAACTGCTCTTCAACGGCCATAGCCATAGTCACATCCGAAGAAGAGGCCGAGCACGCCATGAATACCTTGGGTCCTTAGATCTAGTACTTGGTTGAATGTCGTTATTTGATATTATATTTTGCGTTTAAAGAAACTTTTTTTTCGTCTTGATCTTAAAGGAGAGGGTGTCGCTGCGGGGTCTCAAGTCATATGATTGCAAAAGACAAAATTATCACTACACGTGAACATAAAACCAAACTTGAAGCTAAGAGCATTTTTAGAACATTGACTAGTCGCTAAACGTAATATGCGGAAATATTGTTTTAATATTATTAAAACTATTGAGAAAAAAACGCCATTGCTGTTGAAATAAACAGGTCATAAAATTTTGAACGTTGTCTTTATTTTGCCTGGATTACGTCGATTTAACTGTATATCCGAGCTTAATCATGTTATCTTTAATCCAGCTTGTGAAGGTAGACAACCTGACATAGTATCCAGTTCCGTTGGCACAAATTCGGCCAAATGAAACAATTCCAACCTGGACGGCTACGTTTCCTTTTTCCTGAGATGCGGGGCCACCGGAATCACCCTGGAATCAATGAAATAAACATCTAGAACTTTAAATATATCTTTGCAGCTTTGCGCTGTCCTACAAGGCAGGTATTAATGAAAACAAAACTTAGCAGGTAATAAAAGCTTAATACATGTCAGACGATCCGAAAGCAACGACGGTATGTAAGGTTTAATTAGTATGTTAGAGAGAAGTAACATAAAATTACTTCTCATTTGGCAATTACCTAAATATTTTACTGCACAAATTCGGGTAACAATAGAAGTAAACGATATATCTGCGTTCTTCTGACAACAGGTCCTAGTAAAGCAGTTATCACAAACTACAATCACACGAGTTTTTATGCATTGCAACAAGGCCTACCGCTGTCAGTTTTTTTTTCTTTTTTTCTTTTTCAATCTGGCAGATGTGTAACCCTGAAGTGATTTTCGGTTCCCACAGGGTCATAATGCTTCGCATAGTAAAACACCTTGACCTAACATTCGTAACTATAGATTGCAATATTTATTTTGTGCCAATATTACTCTAAATCTGAAGTTTATTAATTTGATGGGCTTAAGTTCTCAAAGTCAGTAAGACAAGAATATTAGCTTTCAGGTCAACACGGAAGCGAATACTCAAATAAGCACACCAGATGGGTCATCGTGTGCGACCACCTGAAACGGACAGAAATCGTTTTCATATTATGAAGTTTGGGCACAACCTCCCCCCCCCCCCTACCCTATCTTCAGACGTAATCGAAATTATAACAAGAAAAACATTATAGCTATCGTGACCACAAAGATTAATCAAATGTATAACGCCCAGCCACAGTCTTTACACCCGATGCGCTTTTTGAGAAAATTTCTTCTAATGACACCAACATATAGCGCGAGCACCCGACCTGCAAAATGTTTAAAAAAACATTAGTTACCTCCTTAAGAAGTCTAAAAACTAAAAATAAATTTAAAAAAGTGATTCCGCAACCACAAGCAAAAAGCGCATGTCGTGTTATGGATGCAGCACTTGCTTTTGTATGTCTGTGGTACAGACATGTACAAATTACTCAAAAAAGGTAGTTAAGTTAAGTTACTGAGTATCGACGCCAAAAGTAATTGGAGTAGAGTAGAAATTACGCATTTGTAATAGTAATTGAGTAAACTACTAACTACTCTAAAAAGTAGCGAGTTACTTTGAAGTTACTTTCGAAGTTACTTTTTTATATCTTTGTGGTAGCAAAATGAACAGCAGTTTTGATCAATGAAAAACCCTGCGAGCCTAAAATAAATGCAGTCTATTTATAGCTTGCGTTTGCGCCAAAATAATTTATTCGCTCGCAGAAGCAATTGACTTTCAAAGTTCTTGATAGGAGAGTTTTCCCCTTTTCCTTTTAAAGACGTCCCCAGCCGAGGTAAATAGACGTTCCACCGTGCCACTGAATAGATCGGCAGCGTTGAATTTGAGAAACAGGCTGTGCAGGGTCGAGTAAGCGAGTGTCGGCATCTTAGGTGTCCATGACGAAGCATGTGAGGTTTGCCTCGGGTAGAGGGTCTTTTATAACAAACTTTCCTACTTTTTTCTTTTTTCTTCGTCAAGTTGAGATTGTTATGACTGGCCCCTCTTTATTCCGACGTCGTTCTGAGAGTACGCTGAGCGAGTGCACCAGACCGTCAAGGGTTCAAGCCTCGCGCCACGACGATGAGATCATCCGGACGACTGCGCGTCCCGTTGTAGTGCTAGCGCTACGCTACTGAAAAAAGAAATGTTTTGGTTTAACAGAAGATGAACCGAAGTATACTTCGCCGCTGACGCCGGGTCCAACAAAAGGGTCTCCCAAGGGTAACTCGCAATCCTCGCCGGCGACTACAATATTCCGACGCGCCTGACACGCCTGACAAGTAAATCGTTTTTAACAAAGAGGAGGTCTCGCAGGCATGGATGGTCGGAAGGACACGAAGGATTACGTGAACAAGCATCGTCGCTCGTATACAGTTACAGCTGGAAGCGGGAACGTGCTCCCATGAACGGATTATCCGTGCCAGGGTTTGTGCGCGGGGGAGTCCGGCTTTGCAAAGGCGTATGCGCTGACGACAAGGCGACCATGGGACCAGGCGCCCAGCTGCGAGGTCATTCCAGTGGCGCCTCCCGTGGAACCTACCGCTTGAGTCAGAACTCTCTAAAGACAGACAACAACTCTCGGAGTGTCCCCGTCTTTCACGGTTGCAGCTGGAAACGCGGCGCCTGCATGCATTACCGGATTAGGTCAATACCTGACCAAGGCTTGTTAAGCATCTTTTCCTGCGTTCGTGCGTGGCGGTGTTATGTTTTGGCTGCTCGTCGCCACCTTGACCCAAGGACGCCTTCCCGAACAAGGGGGCCCCTTGTTAGGGAATGCCACCTCATCTGCCGGCGTCTTATTCATTTCTGCGCTCAAACTTTCGTGATGGGCAAAATTAGCACTACATAATTTTGAAAGTAGTTAGTAATTTGAGTAGCAGTTACCTGAAAAAAGTAGTTAAATTAAACTACTAATTACACAAATCAAGTTGTAATTGAAAGTTACCAAGTTACTCGAAAAAGTAGTTAAACTACAGTAGTTTGAGTAGAGTAGTTGAACTACGTCCAAGTCTGCTGGTATGACATACTCAAGTTGAACAGTAGAGAATTAGAATCAATATTTAAATTGTATGTACCACACACGCATCGATTCCTGGAGCGTGGGCACAAAACATAATTGAATTATTATATTGCTTGTCGTGTTCAGTGCAGATTTGAGGTCTCTGGATGAAAACTTCTGCAGTCATTAATGAATCAGGGCTCTGGCCATCTGAGACAAGCAAAATGAGGACATTACAATAAATCAGTTGGTTCAGGTACAAACTTCTACATACAATCATATTTTAAATATAGATAAAAGAAATTTTTCAGGTCATAAAAATTGGTCAGAACACTTGGGACATTAAAACCGTCATTATAAAATTGTAGTATCCTGAAGAACACCACAAAGATGCAGCATACACTTCGCTTAAATGGAAGCTGAAACGGCGTTTTCTTTTTAATGAAGTAATGCTTCCTTTTGGCATAGTATTTTTGGAGAATCTTAAAGCCACCATCATTTGCCCTTAAAACGACGTTAAACGAACTTTTTGTGATATTTGTGATGTTTGGAGTCGGATAAAAATAATCAAATGTTTTAATCGTATTCAAAACCGCTTCAGCTTTCCTTTAATGATGGATCCATAAGAAATCAGCAATGTCAAGGCTTAAGGACTATAGCCTCAACCACACAACTATCGCAATTCTGAAATTCTACAATACTCGGCGACAACTTTTCTTGGCAATGCAGTGGAAGGTACGTCCCGCGTCCCCTCTCCCATTCTGAGTGTACGCAGGCTCTCCTCCTCCCCTATTTCCGGGGAGAGGAGGAGAGCCCGCGTACACTCAAAATGGGAGAGAGAACGGGGGATGTACCTTCCACTGCATTGCCAAGAAAAGTTGTCGCCGAGTATAGCTAATATGAAACAACAAATTGGCATCAACGACTATCTCAAAATGTCCATGTTGTTTGGAACGCAGTATTTTAGAAGCGATAGTTCCAATTAGTTGTAAAGACATCAACCGTCACGTGAAGTCACGGTAAGACTTATGATTTCACGTTACACCTTGACGTCACGCGAGCTGTCGTAACACGAAGTGATTGCGTCGCAGTGTCACATGGCACCTTGGCGTCTCGCTTGGTCAAGGTCAACGTTATTTGATTAGCACAGTTACGGAATTGCTCATAGACGCTGCATGCGCGAACAGTACCCCCCCCCCCCCCCCCCCCACTCACCACGACTCGCCTGGTGTCGCTCGACGGCTGCTTTGATAACTGCAGTGTATTCTATGGGAATCGGGATACGTACGTTTCGAAGCACGGCCTCTAGATGGCGCTTCAGCTCTGCTTTTTGGAACTATAACATAGGAAGGAAAGGCAACGGAGAAAATAGAGATAAGACGAGGCCTTAGGCAGGGGTGCCCGTTATCGCCTTTGCTGTTTACGTTATATCTGAGAGGATCGGAGGATAGACTAGAGAAGAGTGGGCTTAGATTCGACCTTTCGTAGAGTAAGCTAGGCCAAAACATTAAGCAATCCTTACCGGGATCGATGTATGCGGATGATATCGTACTCATGGCTAACAACAGGAGAGAGTTGCAGGAATTCATGAGCACGTGTGGTAGGGAAGGAGAGGAATTATGTTTAGAATTCAGTAGTGAAAAATCAGCGGTCATGATTTTTAACGATGATGAATTTGAGAGGCTGAAGGTACAGAATATTACAGTTGCGAGAGCTAGTAAATACAAGTATCTAGGAGTACGGATATGTAATGGTGCAGAATATCTCAGTGAGCCTGAAAAGTATATAACAGGTCAGGGCAACAGAAATGCAGCGGTAATAAAAAATAGATCACTTTGGATTTGCAACAGGTATGAGGTGGTAAGAGAGATTTGGAAAGGGTTCATGGTTCCTGGCTTGACTTTTGGAAACGCAGTGCTATGCATGAAATCCAAAGTGCATGCAAGACTAGAAATAAAACAGCGCGGAGTAGGTAGGCTGGATTTGGGGGCACGTTGCAAAACGCCAAACAAGACATGGGATGGGCGTCATTTGAGAGCAGGGAAGCGGTGAGCAAGATAAAATTTGAGGATCGGTTGAGCCAAATGAATGGGCAGCAATGGGCACGAACTGTTTTCAGCTATTTATACATGAGGAGTACAGACAAAAAGTGGAGACAGCACACTAGGAAATTAAGAGGAAAGTTTTTAGGCTATAGCGAAGTTACGGAAGAGCAGGTCTCAGTTAAGAAGAAAGTTAAGGCCACAGAAAAGGATCGGTGGCTAGAAGGAATGCAGACAAAGACGGCTCTGGAAAGCTATAGATTAAACAAAACAGTTATTGCCAAAGAAAACATTTATGACAATTCTAGGGAACGCTCATTGTGGTTTGAGGCGAGGACAGGTGTTCTGCGAACCAGAACGTACAGAGCGAAGTACCAGGATATGGAGACAGTGTGCACTGCTTCTGGAGTGGAGGACGAGGCGGCTGAGCACTTGATACTCTACTGTAAAGAGCTTCACCCTATGCCTACCGAAGACAACATAGATTTGGTTAGGTGGCGTAAGCTACCGCCCGATCCATGGGCTCAGCTGGATTCATCCATCCATCCCTTGGAACACACAGTTATGAATCGAAAATCTAGATGGCGCTTCGAACGACGGGAGGCGAATTAAGGTGAGTGAAGGGGGGTACCCGCTTCCGCCGGAGTTCCACAACTGAGGTAATCTAGTAACGTTGGTCAGGGTGTAACGTTACGTCACGAGCCATGGGGTATGCGGGGACGCATGGACAAGCAAAACGAAATCGTTTCCGGAAGTGGGAACTACAGTTATGAAGCATTTCATTTGTCAAAAGTAAATAGTTGCTTCATTTGAACGTACACATGTCCTGACATTTCAAATATCTCCACGATACTTTACTGTCAGCAGGAGGCGGAGAATACGGTATGTGAAATAAAGTAATACGCCTCGCAAGTGGGCTCATTTTCGCCTTCTGTGCATGAGAAAGGAAGTAGCGGTGACGTCAGAACGCCGAGCCCTGATTGGCTGATCGCAACCCCCTATCTGAGCGTCGTCTGCTCCTTTGCAACGTCGTCTGCTCGTAACATCGTCTGCGTCTGTCTTACCTGTCCGGCGGCTTTCGGAAGTGCAGGTCTTTACGAGCGAGCTCGACTTCGCTTTTCAGAGAGGGCAGACGAAATAACTCGAGCGGTACGTTGTTTTTGTCTAACAATTAACTAGCAGACTCGCATCAAGGAGAGAAGTCAAAGGACTCACTGGCGAGGTGTCCCGAAGCGCCGAGGTTTGTTTGCTAAGAATCGAGAGTGAGCGTGTTAGTGTCCGCAAGTTCCACCCCCAAATACTTTTTACCTCCTTTCGTGTGCGGCGAGACCCCTCATTCTTTAACGGCGTCGGCGGGTTGGCGCAGTTAACGTCGTCTGCTTTACGTCTTCTAGTCAAAGCGATGGCTGCTTTACCTTTCCTGCGTCTGTGGGAGAATCACCGCCTTTTCACCGGTGAGAGTCACCGTTGCCTTGGGAAACAGGGAAACAAGGAGATAACAAGAGGAAAAAATTGACCTCTTAATCTAAAACTGATGTCAGCGATCAAAGTTTCATACGGGAAGGGTTCACAAGGGTCGCGCGGGCATATTCCATCCAGCACGCCAGCCGGTCGTGGGCAGACGGTTGCCGAGTCGCGTAGTGCCTGCTAGGCCTAACTGCTGAGCTCGCTTGGTCGCGTTCGGTGGAATCGTGGCCGTTGGAGCTTTTCCCGGGTGTTTGTGGATCCAGCGTTCTTGTTCGTCGTGGTCTGTTTCAAGTGCTTTTTACTTTTTTCTTGCTGCTTGAAGTCGGGACGCGTGAGGAGCGCACATAGAAAAATAAACGTCCGTGGGTCGTCGCGACCGCGACGCTGTCGGCCATGCTGATTTGATCGTAAGAAGTGCGTAAGACAGCCTCGGAGCTGTCGTAGGATTTCGTCGTAACCTGCGCAAAACTTACGAAAATTTCGTTTCGTGAATACGAATTTGTTCTCAAGTTTTGTCTTACGCACATTTTTGGCGTAAGATCGTTTCGTGAATCTGGCCTCTGCACTTCTGAAAACCGCAGGAAAGGTAAGACAGACGCAGACGACGTTGCGAGCAGACGACGTTGCAAAGGAGCAGACGATGCTCAGATAGGGGGTCGCGATCAGCCAATCAGGGCTCGGTGTTCTGACGTCGCCGCCTCCCCCTGCGCAAGAAGCAGACGAACTTGCCCTCCGCATACATATATCAACATATTTTAGGAAAGGGCAGAGTAAACGTTAGGTAGAGCGATGGAAAATATTTCGTTTATATGCCACCGCGAAAAAATTATAAAAACTATCAGCTGTTTTTTTTTTCTAGTTGAGAAACGACTTTGTGCTCCTCTTTGCATCACTGGATTTCTTGTCTTTTTGTAATAAATGCTAATGTACGTTTATAGGTTTCAGATGTAAGTCAAGTGCCTGTTTAAGTGGCAGAATGTATGCTTAAGTTACATTCCCGTGCGGTTTCTAACAATTTATCTGGTACCTTCCGGCGAAAATTGTGACGAAACCCTAAAACGCACAAACATATAAAATCAAAGGCCAAAAGAAGAGGTTACAACAACTTCTTTCTTCGATAGAGCTCTGCTGCTCAAGAAAAAAACTGTATTTAAGGCCCAATGATACACGGCTCAAAATTGCTGTGTCTTCTGTGAGGGGAAAGCCAATTGAGAGATTTTCGTAAGGACAGGGCAGAGATCGCAATTACAAGAAAAGACTATGGCACGAGGGCTATATTTTTAACATCTCCTGAACCCTCGATACAGAATAGAATTCATAAAATATTTTAAATTTACAAAACATTTATTTACACAAATCACCTTCTACTCGTGTGCTCAATCGCCTTAAAGGATTAGGCGATCCGGCTCGTATCTTTGATAGTAACAAGTTCGCTTCGAAATTGGTTCAACTCACTATTAGACACATCTTAACTCTAGTCCGCTTCAACTCAAGAAGGTAGGGCGAGGCAGAGGGGGGCCGGGGAGGAAGAAGCAGATGGAACGCTGGAGAAGAGAGGGGGAAATCTTCTCCTCTCTCCAGCGTTTCGTCTGCCACCCCCTCCACGGCTTTTCTTTCCCCCGCCCTACCTTCTTGAGTTGCAACGGACCCAAATTTGGGTATAGCAACCCAAATTAAGATTCACCGTAATTTTATTAAAGTAACCGCATTTCTAAATCTGATCCGAGAGGCTACGAAACTCTATTGCAAACAGTGAGCACGTGATGTCCGACGTAATATGGGGACAGTGGAGCTTGTTCTAGAAGGGTTACAAAAACTTTGGTGGAGTCAAATGAAGGCTAGGAAAACTCACACGACTCAAAACAAGCAAAAGCGTGCAAAATTGCGTTTTCAAACTGTCTGCTCGATTTCTCAGCAAAACAAAAAATTCATACGACGTCGCCGCGAAGAACAGCAGGATAAAGTTTCACGTCGGTTTTGCCATAATATTCACTGTGGCGCTTGCTCAGTACCTATTTACTCTTCCGCTATAATAACTAGCATGATGGGGGAGTGGAACCTGGGGATTCCGAAATTGTGTTTAGTTTATGTCCTTCAATAACACGATGAGGCACGATGTGACATAACATTGTGTGGCACCGACGTTTGAACACCGACCTCAAAGAAGTCGACACGACCTTTCCTCCTAGCGTTACCTAAAAAAAAAAAAATAATAATAAAGGGACGGGAAAGACGGACTACCTAACGTATCTTACACCTCTCATCATGGAAATGTCTTGCACCTTACCGAAACTTCCGACACCATTCCCGCGTGGCGCTGTTATTCGTGCAGTTTTCTCGATACGGATCACACAGACGCTGCAGGATTTACTTGGCGCTCTTCTTCTCCTATCCTTAAAAAACGAATTACAAGGCGCATTGCGCTTGCCTCCAACATCCGTCGTGTGCGCCGTGCTCACATACACACTGGACGAACGGCAAGGTATAAAACGGTCAACAGTATGAGGGGTTACATCGGACCCCATTGACAGAATGCCTTTCTTTTTATCATCAGGGCGTGTCAACACTCAAACTATTTTAACTATCTGCAATATATCTTTTTTTTTTAATTTATAAAATATCTCTAATATTTTTACGGTGTGAGAGTTGTCCCCATCCGGCAATCAGAATCTTTCCCGCCATAGAACTCGACTCGGTAATGCAAATCGTTCCAATATATCCGTGGCTCTCCTCCAAGTTAAATGGACGAGATAGCCTGATGAGGGCCACATCGTTGTTGAAATAGGCGTCATGATCCTCGTGAAAAATGAACTCGCTCGCCTGAAATGTAAGAACATCGTGCTCTAATCAATCGCAGCTATAGTTTATGACTTAAAGCTTTACAAAAAGTCATAAAAATCAGCCTGGTCAAACTGGCCCCTGACCACAAGTATTCGGTCGTATATTTATTAGTGAAGACTACACACCATGGTCCAAGGAGATGTTCATGGAATCTCAAACTGCAGCATGCGCGCTTCTCAATTTTTTTATCTATTCATTTGTGCAATAATACCTCAAAAGCCTTAGGACAGGGCGTTATGCGAGTAATAAGCAAATTAAAACTTTACGGGAAAAAAACGCACTAATAAGCAACAAATCCAATAACGATAAGACTGCGATGGCGAACGGCACCTGGTGTACATTTACCATTTTCTTGAGCCAGCTGAGACTGGGTGGAGAACTTGAAGAATTTAAAGTGGAAGGGACAGGAACGGAAAGACAGAAGGCGTCGCCTTAAAAATTTGAGACGGCGCCTTCTGTCTTTCTGTTCCTGTACCTTACAATTTTGCTTCCACTTCTCCACCCAGTCTCAGGTGGTTTAAGAAAATGGTAAAAAAACAAATCGAAGATGCTTTACAGTAATAAAATTAAAAAAAGACGTAGAACATATTTTTTATTCGCTAAAACTAGACACCGCTAGCATACCCGTTCAATACGTTTGTTCAGTTATTCTGTGATCCATATACTTTTTAAGTGTAACTCCGTAATTAGAAAAAAAGCCTACGATTTTATTTTTTTTCTCAGGTAAAAAAACCTCAAAGCACTCTATCATCTCAGAATAACTCGCTACAAATTAGCAACAGAAACAAAAAAAAAATGAGAGCCGTTTACAACTGCCTGTAACACCGAATTATAGTCCAGCTCTTGAGGAGGAGGAGGGAAGAGTACTCAGGGGAAGGTATATCCTTCCCCCCTCCTCCTCACCTCCTCATCATGCCTGCTACTCCTTCCTCCGAGCGGCGTCGCCATCACCTTACGAGGGTCACCTGACCTCACGGGGCTCACATGACGTCACCGGGGTCACGTGAACTCAGGGGTCACGTTACCCCATGACGTCACATGACAATAACGATGACGTCATCAGTGACGTCGTAGTGATTATGACGATGACGATGAGGATGACGTCAGCGTGATTATGATGCTAAAGCTGAAGCCTGGGCGAGTTGGTATGACATTCTTAAAAGGTTAAAACAGCTCAAAAAACGACGGACAAGGTAAAGAAGGACACGGACAGAGCGCCTTTTAAGAATGATTATGATGATGACGATGATGATAACGTCATTATAAGGACGTCATCACAATGGCGTCAATGATGACATCACTGACGTCATCAGTGACGTCATCAGTGACGTCACCAGTGACGCCACGCGTCCCATAATGCATCGCGCGGTTACGCCGACGCCGACGGCGATGGCGACGCCGCTCAAGCCGGAAACGGGCGCCTAAGAGCTGCGCTCCAAAAACTTTGCATATGTGCTCCCGCATTCCTAGATGGTCCGTGCCTTAGATATCTCATATGCTCTTGGATGAAAAAAACTGGGCCCGGGAATAATACGCATATCTTTTTTTATTATGATAATATTCTGATAGCATAATGTTATAATACATAATTTTCGTATTCAAGCTAGTTCAGCAAGATTGGATGGACATTATCTGCAAGTAATGAAGCAAACTATTTTCATAAGCGTCCGTTGTGCATGGTCATAGAAAAGAATGACGGATCTCCTGCTTACAAATCGAACTTGTTTGCAGGGTCCCGCATTCTTAAGATCTATAAATCCAGCCTGAACTCTGATCCAGCTGGGTTTCACACTGCAATGCAAAATAGGACGGTTAAATATCATCCCCGCTGTACTGATCCGCTGTACTGATGAAACAAAAATACTAACTTTTCGAGGCAGTGCGCAGCTGTCAGGATCACGTCTGCAGAAATAATAGATCCACCACAGGAATGAATTTTTCGTGTCGACTGAATTGAGACCTGTAATTGGCAAAAAGAAAGCAAAACCTCGAATGCAGTGATGACAGAAGAAACCTTGAAACGACCGAGAAACGCATAAGAAAAACCGGTAAGGTTAGCTTCTGTTTCTGCAGATGTTCAACTAGGTACGGGGGATTACATGCTGACGAGTTTGTAGTACTATCGGACTCAGCCTGGTGGGGCTTGAGAAAGTTATACCGTGGCTGTTCACGTGCTTGTTTACACTTATTGTCGGCTTGCTGATAGTTATATGGTCACTTTCCTTTTCAGACATAGGAGAAAATATTTTTACTGGCGCCGCGACCATGAGCTTAGATAATAAAGGCGACGACGAGCGCAGTTTCGGCGGTAGAAACGAGTAAAAGGAAATCCTATTTAAGCGCTCCTAAATTCGGAAAACGAGACGGGCTCAGTCACATAGCTTTGATCATTTGCCTTTCCTCCGCGTGGTATTTCCAGGCACCACACCAGAAAGTACCTAACTTGTCGCAATTTTCCAATCAATAAGGACCTAACTTTCGCCTAACAAGGTTTTGCTCCAAGGCCTTGTTTCATGAAAAAGTACTTTGTCTTTCCGATGGCATTTCCCTGGTTCGCTACCTAATTGCCAAGTTTCAAATCATGCCACGCGTATCACTAAAACATTCCACAGTGAAACCTAACGCCGTCACTTGTTTAGAAATTCAGGCCCGAAGTTTCCAGGTGAAAACCCAACCAGGAATGAAGACTAATTTCATGTTACAGTCACGTGCTCTATACGAAAGGAAAAAGAGCGGCACAAGTGCCTAGAATGCGTTCGGCGACGTCTACAGAGAGCAACTGGCGAGACAGAACAACCGGATTGGCGGTGTCCCAAAACAAAGGTGCGGCCAGCCCCAACCCTCTACACCCACCGCTGAGATCCGGACAGACGAGAAAATGCCATCGGTAATGTCCCGAAGAAACACCTGGCCAAGGTGAACGACGTGTTTAGCTGTGCGCCGGCACGCGTCTAAAAATGCTAGGGAACAATATCTTCGTCAGTGTCCCGATCCCAAAGACGACACCAACAATCCGTCTTACCGTCGACTGCGATTCGAAGGGGCCAAAGGCGAAAAACGAGGCTGGTTCATGAGACCAAGAACACCACTGCATCCAACGACAGAACTTATATCGATATCACCAACAGTAAAGGGACTACGTGAGATTGACGCAAATTTCCAATTGTCTACTTTTGTACAGTCAGATAAGTGTTCTTTTTTTTTTAATATACTCTGATATTATCTTCTAGCATTTTGCTCCGATTCTGCTATCGGTTGTCTGATCGTACCCAAACACCTAATTCTGGCACGTATGTGGCAATTACAGCTGAGAAAAACACGCAAACAAAATGTTACATGTTACAATACAGTGATATCTCGTTAATATGATCACCATCGTTTCCGTAAAAGATCCTCCATAACGTGAGTTGTCAATAATAACCAGACAAAAATGCATGTATATTACAGTTCGTCCAGAAAAGTGTTGTCCATATAGTGGGGTATCAATATTAACAGGGTCCATATTGACCAGACATGATTTTAATAGGTACTGATAAATAACGCAATACTTAGACCAATATAAAAGGTTAAAAACTAAACAATTGTGTTTTGTAGTCTCTGTTACTAGGGTGTGACACCATTTTTTTATAAAAACGTATTTATTATAAAAAGTGATAAATGATATGTTTTCTCTGTGAAGAAAATTCATTAGTCTATCTTGAATAGGCCACACATGAAACCTTGCAAACCTTTGCAAACCTTGCTGAAAAAATAGAGTATCGAATTTTGTCTAAAAAATAGGAAGTACGACAAACCTTGCAAACTCATTATGCGTTCTGAAGTTCATTTCGAAAGTGTTCCGAAAAAAAATGCAAATGCCGCAGCCAAACTAAAAGAAAATTATCTCACCATCTATTTACGGTGATAAATAAATCTACGGGTTATAACCTCTTTAAAAAGACCAAGATTAGACAATTTCTCACTAGATCTTTCTACTGAATACGGAATCAAAGATCACGACATGCCTGTTTTTCTACCATTTGCTACAGAAGCCAGATGACGCAATCGGACGAGGGGCATACAATCGTGAGGGATCTCTTCTCGCTCGCGAATCGCACACATTCTTAAATAATTCCTCCGTTGGTCGACCCAGTCGGCCCCCTTGTTGCGCCGGAAGCGATCGTTCGCGATTAGCTGTCGCACGATCGACGGTGCCCGCTGACTTCTGCGCTAGATCGCAGAAAAATGGCTATGTCGCGATCATCCAGAATACATTTTCGTCAAAAATAAAATCAGACTGTTTCATACTACCGAATTCAAAATGTAGTCACCATTCTTTTGTTTTCTATATTCTGTTTTGCGTTGATATAGCATAAACAACGTAATTTCGAAATTTTACTTTTCTTGTGTTTATCGCATTTCATAAGTTACCTTTAAAAAAAGTAATATAAGAATCATCCTCGACTTGCTTCCCATTGTGAATTATAGCACCTTGATAATTGTTGGCCTAGCAGTTATTGCCACAACAAATAAAGCATTCCAAAGTTTTCCATGCTGAAAATGCCGATAGAGACTGTATTTTTCAATGGAAGTTAATTATTTCGAATACCTAAAATAATGTTCATTTTACGTCTTTGTTTTAAACTTCACAGATTTGTTTAAAAAAACGTAGAAGTCGCACTTATTCAGCATGAGCAGGGGAGTTATACGGCCAGGTGGACATAGCACAAGGGGCTAATCGTAACAATCAGTCGGCCAATTAAGTCAAAGTTGTTAATTAACTTTTGAGTTAGTGGATATAGACGTACGGTTTCAATTAGAAACGTCCTGAGCGTTATCGAAAATTACTAAATCAGAAATTTTCTGAAAGTCTTTGAGCGCGTGAGAAGCGCGGTAGTGCGCTAAAGTTACTACTCGTGCCGCGGGTGCAAGGGTAGCGATGCGATAAAGCGGCCGCGTGATTTTTCTACCTCCTCTTAGAGCCCCAGCCTTGCATCGGCTGCATTAGTGGTACCTTTACAGCACTCCTACGCTTCCCACTCGCTCAAAGTATTTTTTTTAAACAATCTTGATTTAATGGTCTTGGATGACGCTCATCAAGTTTCTAATTGGAACCATATGCCAATTTTCACTAATTCAAAGGTTAATTAAAAATGCTGCTTAATTACACGACTGATCGTTACGATTCTCCTAATATATCATTTCCCCATGGCCGTATAACTCACCTGCGAAAAGTGCATAACTGTAACTTCAAAGGATTTTTTACAAACAAAGTATGTGACAGCTACTTTACGTTATTATTAGGGGTGTGCGAATATTAATATTTTCGAATGCGAATCGAATACGAATAGTTAGCTTCGAATCTCGAATCGAATATTGGATAGTCGAAGGCAGGTGCATTTATTCACAACACTTTTATTTTCATATGTCGGAACTGCAGTTGATTTTTCTTTTCATTTTTTCTTGTTTTTTTTTCTGAATTCCAGAACTGCAGTTGATTTTTTTGCGTGACAACTTGGGATCTTCCCTACAACTAGAAATTTCGTTTTTCTTAGTTTTTATCCTCGTAGTTGTAAGGAAAATCACAAGTTGTCATACAGAAAATTGAACTGCTGCAAATGGTCAGGTAGGAGGCGCTCCCTTCGTGCGGAAACTACACCTCCAGCCACAGAAAAAAAACACTCTCACCCAACACTGAAGTAGCAGGTATTGCAAGGTATTTGATGCAAAGCTTCGCCAGACTCGGATAACTTAAGCACCCGACGGTTCGCCACCACTCACATGGATGACCCTCTCTTTCTTTAGCAGTGCCTCCCTCCGCATTTTCATTTTGAAGCTTCACCTTCTCATATTGAAGCTAATACTACTTTGCATTTTTATTGCACTTTTGGCTAAGTGGTCAAATGCTTGCCAAAGCCAAACATTGCTGACGGCGCTGAGCCTCGCTCATTCGACTGTGTTGCAGCTTGCGTCTGGGTTTCTTCAGTGGCATCACATGGGGCTAGCTCTTGCAGCAGCAGAGCTTTCAGCCAGAATATTTTTTTTCAGCTTTAAAAATAGCTTACTAGAAGCGTGAATCCAAGAACATAGCAAGGCATGCTTCCTTGTCCTCCTTACACAGAGTGAATCTTGCCTTGATGAATTTTATCAGCTCTTCGGGAAATTCTGATGCCCCAGCATGGTTACCTAGACAGTGGAGCATACCAAAAATCATAGGAACTTGGGACGACAAAGACAGATACTTCTCAGCACTGATAATAACAGTGTCATCAAACAATGGATTCAATGTTTGTACGTATTCAGAAGCATATTTCTACTCTGATGAACCAAGTCCATCGATGTCACAGGCCGATGTAGCAAGCTCCACAGTGACTGCTTCTTTGAGTTCCAGAAGGAGAGACAACACTAGATACTGGTTATTCCATTTCGTATCCAAGTCTTGCACCAAACGAAGTGTGTCCTTTCCCATCTTTTTTTGGCACCTCTCGAACCTTTTCTGAGCTAATGAACTGTGCTTATAATGTCCCACAATTTGCCTCACTTTCTTGCACAGGCGATCAGTGGCCGGCGAACGGGATCTCGCGTCATTAATCGCCAATTGAAGCGTTAGCGCGAAGCACGCTCTTTCAGTACTCGGAAGTCTCCTTACTGCAGCACGGATGTTGCGTCTGTTATACGTTACGATGAACTTCGCACATTCGTCGGTATCTCCCAGTCACGGCATATTTCGTCCAGCACAGTTGCAATGTTCACAGCACTGTGACTGGCAGCCATGTGTCGAGTGTTCAATGTGAACCGCTTCTTCATAAATTTTAAAGTGAGAAGATGGTAGGTGAAGCTCACGTAACTTTCGTTAGCGCGTGATGTCCACATGTCGTTTATGAAGGCAACAGTGGTAGTACCACCTTCAAAGGCACTGTTGAGCTCTGCTTTCACCCTCTTTCGGGTGTCGTCATACATTCGTGGCACAAGCACGCGCGAAAGTGTAGAGCGGGATGGTAGGTGGATAGCTGGGAACGGCTTCTGTCGGAAGTTCTTTGAAGCCGCGGTCTTCCACAATGCTGCAAGGCTGTAAATCATGCGCCACCATGGCGGCCACCTTGTTATTTAGCACTCGCACCCTCTTTTCTGGCAGGAGCTCCGTGCGGCGCACGACGTCCGTCAGCGTCAGTTGATCTTTTCCTTGCGCACCAGCGGTAATCCCACGATACTCTTTCAACAACGCAGGATGTACATTGAGATGGTTGACAAGGCGCATTGTCGTACCTGTGGGCATTTTAAGCGTCGACTCGCATGCAGTGCATTGCGCCATCGATGCCGTCTTCCTCGCAAAATATTTCTAAATAGCGCTCCTCTCTCTCTCTCTTCGTTTTGGTTGCGTTTCCCGTTCGTTTCTCTGCATCGCAGACGGTTCCCCGCAAACACCTCCATCCGCCATAAAACGGGTGGGCGAACGCGAAAGAGAGGAGTTTAAAAAGACAGCAGTCACAAGGAAACAGAAAATCGCGGATTACCGCTACAGACACCGACGCCAGCAGTTTAGGTTAAAGCCGCCGTATACGCTTGCGAATACGTTCTCGAACATTCGATTAATTTCGAATATTCGTGTAACGACGAATATTCGAATAATACCAAATACTTAGTTTACGAATCGAATACAAATAATAAATGTATAATATTCGATTCGTATTCGAAATTTTCGAATATTCGCCCACCCCTAGTTATTATCTCAATGAAAAATATATGCATGTAATGTGCAATTTTTATCAAATCGTATCCGCGCAAATAACGAAGCTGCAGCAAACTGTACAACTGGTCAGGCTGACCTCAACCAATTAACTATTTAAGAAGATTAGATGCAGTCGCTTACTATCCAGGGAAATTCCAGTTCTTCTGCCAGCCTCCCTCCAACAATCCTGTACCTGTTTTTCAACTCTCTTCTACCGCAGTTACGGTCGGGCCAAACTGCACCATAAGCTACCCGATAAATAAGAACACAAAAAGTCATGATCGCTATTATCATCATCATCATCATCATAACATTATCATCACCACCATCATCATCTCATCATGATCATCTGTTTGTTTTATGTGCTTATGAACAGCCAAATTGCGCTAGTTTTATTGCAGTGTAAATTTATTAGACATTTCGGGACGTTAATGCCCTCTCAATGATGTCGCTATATGGTATTTTATGTCCGAAATGAAACTAGCTAGGCTGATGCATATTAACGCGGGTAATAATAAACCTCAATAACAAAGAAGAATTTAAACTCGAAATCGGTAAATTACAACTCACAGCAAATGTTTTGTTTGGGATAAGCAACACATGATTAAATATTAGTCAGACTAGAACCAAACAAGCTTGAGTGCCTGCGTTAAAGATTTCGATACTGGTTTTGCTGAAAGTTTTATAAAAAATTTTTACGCGGTTGAGGGACTGGTAAGGCTTATGTTTTCAACTGAGAGCGTGGGAGTAACCTTTAATTTTACTAGCCATGCATAAATACCGAAAGCTGACTTGAGGTTTGAACATTCAATTAAAATATGCCTACACTAACGTAAATAAATTTCACACTGGGACAACCGCGTCGTCATATATGTCTCGCGTAATCATAATAAACAAAGAGGTGAGCAGCGGTCAAAGCGCTCTTTTGTATAACCTTCTATCTGCTATTTATAGAAGCTTAGAAGAGGTTTTACATATCTCATCAACTACTGTTCGTTGACTGTTTATATCCGACGTAAAGTATATTCATGCGTGTGAGGACTGAATTTATCGCTAATGTCGCCACTCTAAGCGTAGTGATCTTTATGATTTATGTCAATTTGGGCACACTATACCAGTGCACTTTTTTTTCCTAGTAGAAAATGTTCCGAGATTTTTTCAGTGCACCAATATAGCCATGCATTTTTGTTGTGGACGCTTCTGTTGCAAGGAAAAGGTGTTCCGCCACTAAATTAAACTAATTTACTACGTCTGCCTTTATCCTAAAGGTGGTAAAAATGACTATTGAGTGTTTCCAAGTATTACATCAACGATTCTGTACAATACTAAAGAGGAAGGGGCAAGTGACCCATTTGGCATGAACTCCCTCAAGAAAAGCGTACGATTAATATTTTTGAATCCACTGATTTGTTATGAATACTTCTTTTTACATTCTTTTTAGACTGGTGTTTTATAGGTATATATGGTTCTTGATTTTTATTCGAACATATTTTTTTTATATATAAATTCGTTAAGGGTGCTTCGCGGACACTATTCGTCCATTTTTTTTGTAACAAACTCAGTGGTGGTATTTGTGGGGCAGTTCTGGAAGACTTACAGTCCAGGTATATTTTAACTTGCTTTAGCATAATTCTTTCCCATAAGATTGAACTATATGTAACAGAAGCACAAGCAAGCATTTCCCGTAAAAAAAACTAAAAAAACTAAAAGGGTGTAGATTTTATTTGCAAATACTGCGAAACCCACCACCTAGTTCAGAACCGGAAGTAGTTGGGAGCTATTTGAACACTAGCGCCACCACGTTTCTACTCGCGCGAGAAAGAGCGAGTGACACGGCGGCCATGGCAATTCCGCACAAGGCGCGGATTTGTATGTCGGGCATTGGGGGAGGAGGAGAAAGCGGGGAGGGGGGTAAGCAGGCATTTGGCTGGCGTTTGGAGGGGGGGGGGCTATTGAGAGAGGACGTTACGGCCGAAACATTTCACAGATCTATTTTGTTGACCCGATATTTGCTATCTTACCCAAACTAAGCTTTTCAAACCGAAAGTTTACCATGGAGGAATTTTGTGTGTGTGTGTGTGTGTGTGGGGGGGGGGGGGGGGGGGGTTCCTCCCAAACAACTTTTCAGCTGAGTTTGGGAGGTAGCAATGCAAAGGTTGGGCCGCGCGAGCGAGACGCGATTTGAGTCCGGCTTAGCTCGTGCCCTGACTTTGGCAATGCTTTCCTTCTCCAAGTTTCAGCTGAGACGCTCTTTCTAGCAAGCCGGCCCTGATGTCTCGCATGTAGAGGAGATATTTCGCCAGTTCAGGATGCTCGGTATTTTATGGTGAGGTTTGTTTTCTTCTAATTAAATAGTTAATTACCAATTTCTAGTTAATTATTCGGTAAATCGGGACGATTAGCCCTTAATAATATATCTACTGGCCGTATAACTCACCGGCACAAATCACACTCTTGTACCTTTCACGGTTTTCTTTTGTCTTTAATATGCATATATGAATTAAAAACAAGCACCCTATATTATATATGCATCTTTCAGTGATGTTTTTTTCAAATGGTTTTAAAACCCACCACCAGCTATAGTCCCTAGCCGCAATTTAAACTTCTTTGCTACTGTTAAGAGTGGCAAAGAAGAACAAACACAAGTGAAGCCCTGAATGTACTCTGTCACCCACTTCACTCATCTTTTCTTGTATTTAAAGATATATGGCGTATTGAATTGAAATTATCGAATTTATTCCGCTTAATGTGACCACAATCAGCTCGAGCCCTTAATAGCCCGCATGTATGAAAATCAATCAAAGAAGAGATGCAAATAGAAAAACAGGACGTAATTCTGGAAAGGTAAAAGTATATAAACAAAACTGCATCAAACAACGGAACAGGGATGTTTGTCAGAGGGCTGACAAGGTTCATTTAAAACGTTGGAGGGGTGAAAATTAATCTAAATTGCTCCGAAGATTATTATAAAGGAGCTGTAGGCTCGTTATTGGGGACCGGACACCGACTTTCCACTGGTAAAAAAAGAAATGTAAGTTTTATATGCTTCTGAGGGACATTAAAAAATCGCACTTAAAAGCAAGAATGCATCAAGCGTAACGTTCAATATCTTATACGAAAATAAAAATGTTATAGAGAAACTTTTATAAAACGGTTTCTTTATAATTACAAGACAAAATTCACCGATCTATCACCTTACTTCCTGAGGTAGCTGCTCAAATTCCGGACTGACCTTTTCCACACTAATAGGCGGAACTGTTCCCGAATAATTTGTCTCTACAGTTGGCTTCTATATAGTAGTGGTTGCCTATTAACAAGACACGGCTGTATTCTCGTAAATCTTTTGCCTGAACTAATCAATAAAAGTTTTCAAGTGGAGTGAATTATGAATCAAGCAGACAGGCAAATCAGAAGAACAGTCAAGCGTTGTATCGGGAATTGGTAAGCCACTAGACACTTCATACTTATTGCGAAAGCACTGGAGCGTAATCTTTTGAAAACATTGAGAGTGATATACAGTGACACCGGTGTTTGTCACCATTCTAATTAGAAGTACACCTAGCCTCTACAAAGAAAGTGACACACATTCTTGCTTACCGTTAAATATGACTGTTTTATACGTTTCGGACTCTGCCGCGAAATACTCAAACCTGAACGTTTTACATTCTTTTTTTTCATTTTCTTTTTCTTCGCTTAAAGAGCTAACTGTGCACGATACCTATCGTTACATATACCATGATTTTGTGGCAGCTAACTTATATTCTGAATACTTAGAATATTAGTTGAAGCACTTTGGCGACTTGTTAATATCTTTGAAACAGTACAAGAACATTCGATTTTTAGTGCCAAATTATACGTATCGTAAAATTTGGCACTAAAAATCGAATGTTCCTGTACTGTTATATGTTTGTATTTATGTTGTATTCATATATTACATCTGATGGTTAGGTTTGCACTTTTTGTTTCAAACAAAATTTATATTGTATATTATGTTATCTGATTCTTTCAGACATGAATGCAATCCGTCATGGCGCAATCTCTACTTTTTTAATCTACATTCGTCTCCTTTTACATTCGCTCGTTATGTGTGCGACTCCGGCTTATACGACGGATTCACATATTTGAATAAGGAGACAATAACCCTCAGACTCAACATAAAGAATATGAACGCAATAGTCGTGTCTAATATTTAAGTGCACTAGCGAATTTTTCATGCTTACTTCCGTATATATGTTACAATAATATACTTACTCATTGTGAACGCCATAAATAAGCATGTACTTTGAATTACAATACCCATAACGTTGGCAGACAAAAAAAAACTGCCGGACTCTGTTCTTTCCACTGAAAATGAAGATAACGAAACATAGAGTTATACAAGTACGCTGTTGTTCTAAAAGTATTCGAATAATATAGGTGCTGGATTGTTTTAGTAGAAATTTATTATTTTTTTTAACGGCTGGGAAGTCCCAAAAATACAAAAATGTAAGCTGATGAATATAATTCAAGCCGAAGAAATTGTGAAATAT